ATTGAGGGCATAAAATAAATAAATTTAAAATGTTTAATGTAAATGTTTCAAATTAAAAAAAATATGTAAAATAAAACTGATAAAGTACAAATGAAAATATAGCCTTTTTAAACTTTTGCAACCAGAAACTGCTCTTCATATTACTGACAAACAATAACAGTAACAACAGCTTTTTGACAAGTTTAAAATTTCTTTAAAATACATTTAAACTGTTTAAAAATAAACTACAAAATTAATTTAAAGTGCAAATTAAAATATAGTTCTGTAACTGTATTTGATAATGTTTTGAACTTAAAATATTGCATGGTAAAAACAGAAGCTGCTCTTCATATTAGTGAAAAACTTTGGTGTTTTWTTGATGAGTWACTTTCATTTTTRCTTCTACCTTTCATTTAAAATAAGTTTCCATTCTTGGCAGGTTTCTAAGGTTCTTCTTCTACATATTAAAAAGGTTGTTAAACACCTGAGTGACGCACTACCGCTACTAGTGGCGCGAAAGTGTRTTGCACCTTATTCTAAATCAATGCGGTCCTGCGGCGCTCTGCGGCCCAAAGTTAAAAACTGTTGTTCTTTAAAGGCCCTCAAGGTGGCGCTCCATGGGTTAAGAATCTCTGCTCCAGGACAAGCTGGAATGAGTCACTGGGGAGAGGGATGTCTGGGTTTCTCTCCTAGACCTGTTGCCTCCGTGACCCGACTACAGATAAGTAGTAGAGGATGGAGATGGAGAAATAATCCTTGTTGTTTTCATTCAACAGGTAGTGCCAAGACCCTCGGTCTACATACTGCAGTCTGGGATAGCGTTGAGCTCCTCCATGGCCTGTACCACCTGCTGACAAACCAGGGTGTCTGGAGCATTTTACTTGAATGAGGTGAGGATGTCTTTGACCCTCCTGAAACACATCTTTACCATGCAGATAAGTTATTTAAAAGCAAGTAATCTGGCTTTATAGATAAATAGCTCCTGACTGTACATCTTGTTTTTCTGGTTGGGGTTGAGACTGATAATTTAGAACAAACTAGTGTCACATTGGTATTCCAAGCTAAAAGCTGTAAATTTGACTTTCGTGTTTAATCTGATGTTATTACTTCTGGCATTGAGGACTTTCCAGCCTTGTGTTCTCCACAGCTAAGATCCTTGTTTTACTGATAAACCCATCAATCCACCAGCTGCACAAATGAATGTTTTAACAGAGCGAAGAGRCAGCTCGTGAGCTCCCTTTCTAAAGTTTTGAACTACGGCGTATCTCAAACGTATCACGCTCCTCTAACCTTCATTATCTGTCACACAGTTTAACGAGTTGACCAAAACAATATGATAACCGACTATTTATTCACTCACTCTGAAGCTTCTATGAAGACGTTACACAGAAAGAAAAAGGCCTCACTCAGTTGCTCAAATGAAGYCACTGAGCCTTAGCTAATGGAGATWAAAAAAATGTGTTTACTGCGTTTGAGAAGATTGGAGAAGATGCTTTTTTTAAATGAGGGAAATCTATCCTGCCTAGTAACAGTGCATTTGTTTGTCAGGTTGTAAATGAGCTTTTWGTTGCAGCASCAACACATTTTCACACTTTAACACWAATGTGTATGTGTTGAAATKACCAATTTTATGTGTTTGGGTCTTATGTTTTCTGCCATTCCTAAAATGATTTAAATTCCAAAAGCTACCCCTGGTGTGAGTTTTTTTTTAATTAGCAGTACTTGCAATATAGGTTCATATTTTTTTTCTGAAAAGTATCGATCTCAAGAGAAGAAATTCTTACTCAGAGTACAAAGCGACGTCATGCTGCAGAGGTCAGACACAGCAGAGTAGCTTTGGAGCTGCTGGCGATTATCTGACAGGAAGTTTAGCCGAGCACGGAGATGAGGTCAAGGATATAAACTCAGGTCTTCTGCTTGAAGAATAGTCTCCTTTGTAGCTGTTAGCTTGTGTTAAAAAAAACAACGTAAACAAGCATTCAAGTAAAGCTTTAACTTTTTTAAGTAGAGTTTTTTTTTCAATCCGATTTTATTTGTTGATGTTTTAAGAGAGAAGTTAGACCCTTGTTTTGGAGAAAAGCTACCACTGACAATTTCTAATAAGAAATCTTTGTTGACTGGTGTGAAGTTTGTATGTTCTCCTCATGCATGTGCAGGGATGTACATTGACTCTTTTAGCTTATACTGGTGCTACAGAGGTTGCTAGTTTTCTAAAAACCAAAAGTAGTGCATGTCATTACTTAAACACACTGACAAACCATGCATACAATGAAAACAATAATAAACATCTTCAAACAAGCTTATTTGTCTTTGAAACAGCAAACAGAAATAAGCGTTTCCCTTCTTCTTAGATGTAATTTGATTTGGTGTCAACGCTCTCTTCCAAAATCCTGTCTGCAACCCTGCACAGGTTCAAACCAGTGCAGTAAATGAGTAAACGGTAGTTTTAATGTGGCTGTTTTGTGGCTGAAACGTGTCTAATAAAAGAGTGCACTTTTCCAGGTGGAGAGGGATTTATAGAGAATATAATGTCAGTAGAAATGCTGTTTTTTTGTGTTTATAGTCACCTTTAGTATGGMTCCAATTTTATGATTTTCTTGGCTTTAAATTGAAGGAGGCATACAACTGCCAACGATGCATTCTGTGCTTCTGTTGCCTCAATGTGTCATGTTCTGCAGTGGCAAAAGGAATTAAACCTGCGCTTGTTTACCGTTCTCACAAACATATGCAGATGTACATTCACAAATAGAGTGAACCCATTTACCCCACGGGGAGCAGCAGAGGAACCGAGCGCACAGGGTTCCCTACTGGAATCTTGCCTTCTTTCTTTTGCTTCTTACTTAATTCAACTTCAAGTCCATAAAACTTTATCGCTGTGTAGTATTAACGAAAACCCATATTCCCAAAGTGTGTGTTTGTCTGGGGACGCTCACTGCTGCTAACCCCTGCTGTGTGATGGTTTTCTTTCTCTCTTGACTTTGACTGTGCTGCTTGAAGCCAGCAAGGCTCTTACCCTTTTTTCTCTCATGCAAACAGTGAGAAGTGTGTGTTTGTGTGTATCTTTGTGTGTGTGTGTGCTTGTGAGAGAGAGTTAGTACTATTCTTGGCTGGTCGGGGAAGTCTTGGCTCYCAGGCGTATGGGAAAAGTGCTCTTGGCAAGTCTTGAGCTCAGGCATTCCATTATGCAGTCCTCTTGAAACACAGACATACAAACTTGCTTTTGTCACTCAAGAGGTCATCCCATTGACTTTTACTCATTTTAAACTAAAGCATAATCTCTGCACAGTTTGTTTTATGTTGTTTAGGCTGTAGGCATACAAATGTTACGAGCATATATACATATATAAACARGTGTCTTTGTGCTGCTTTTTTCTTTATGCTATTTGTCTGTCACGCTCCAACATTTCAACGTTTGTGCTTTTACACACAAGCTATGAGGAGAAGGACTAAATGTCTTCTCAAATAAGAGATTCCTTGTATATTATGCCCCGGGGCTCAAAGCCAGAGTTTCACTGTCACTCACACACACAGACACATCCACAACATTCAGCACGAAATCCTCAAATCAATAACCTCAGGAGTGGGAGGCTGTCTGCATGACTTGTATCAGCTGATAGATCTCTCAAGTCTTTTTTTTCTCGTTATCCCTTCTCTTTCTGTCTCACTGCACTTTTACTACACAGTGATGTACCTTTTGTTCAGCTCCTCCTCTTTGTCTTTGACTCCTCACCTCTCTTCTCCCTCTTTTCTCTCAGTGCCGTTGCAGCGTGTTACATAACTTCAGTCCAACCAAAGTGATCCTCCGGGCCCATGTGGGGTTTGGCATTGAAAATGGGGTCATTGTCATGGGGGAGGTTGTGTCTGACGAGGATGCGTACAACCGGCCTCCCGGCAATTCTGTGTGTGTGGATTTTTCATCAATGACACACATATGAAAAACTGCACTGTCTTTTTTTTTTTTTTTTTAGAATAGAAAACCAAAGCGAGTAATGACCAAATTGTTCTTCTGACTCTTAGATGATATGTTTGGATGAAGCAAATTTGAGATGTTTGCACACATAGTGTTTTGGGGATGTGTTTTGTCTGTTTTCATATAGAAAAAAATAATGGAAGTTTATTTTTCTTAAGTGCAGAAAGCAAAAAGAGCTCTTGAAGCATAAAAAGGCAGTGTTACATTTTTCACATGGAAGTGCTCTTTAATTGCTGCCTGTCAGCATAGAACAAACAAACAAAAATATATAGATTTGTATAATGCGTAGCTGTTGAATGTGTTTGTTTTAATGGCGACTGAGTTCTGTATTTTGTTGTGTGCTCCTGAGGCRTGTGCTCGACTGCTGCCAGTTTTATATTTTTATTCACGTGTCTTTTAAAAAAGGTGGGGAACATTGTTCCGTGACAAGGACGCACACTGAGCAGTCATTCACTTCTCCCTGCTGCCGTGACCCAACTACTGCCTGTCTGCCCTTCCTCTTACAGCTGGGGAGTTCACCTTCAGCAAACACAGCGGTCCGCCCATCTCTTTTAGCTGCAGGGATCACGTTGGATATGATTTCATATTATACAGTACATTATAATACAAATATATTTTGGACGCAGAGCTCCCTTCGCAAAAAAATCCTCTAAACATTAAAGCAAGTCGTACACAGTGCATAACATACTGCACTACACTGCACTGCTTTCATCCCTTAAAGTGGCTGTGACGTCAAATTTTTGTAATACATATGAATGCATTTTTTTGAAAGAAGACATTGATAAAATATTGCAAAAAAAAATTGATGTCGCTGAGATGAACAGTTGTTCAGATATCTGCCTGTGAAGTTACAGGAAGTGATGTCAAAGGGGAATGTCTGCATGTGAACAGAGATTTTCTAAAACGGCTAACAACCCAGACTGTAGAGAAGAATCTGATGTTTCTTTAGATTATTTTGAGTCACTATCAGAGAGATGAAGAGTCGGAGTTCAAATAATATTGTTTTCATAAACAAAGACCAGAGAGTTTTCTTTGTGAAAGAGTTCCCCTTTGATGTCACTTCCTGTTTCACTTTGGCTGAGTCAAATTCAAAAGAAAATATGCCAGTTATGGGACAAAACAGGTTAAATCATGTGTATTATTTCAACTTTCTTAAATATGAAGATGTTTTCTTTGAATTTATGTATTTGAGGAATATGCATGTCACAGGCACATCATCATATCCTGCTTTAAATCCTTTTTTTCCCACATTTAAATCATTCAGTTGGGGTCTATATAAAGTGGAACTGCAATGCTTTGATCTGAATTCCTCCTTACTGTAACTCCACTTTTCTGAGGTGCATCTCAGATCAACTCGTTTTGAGGCTGTCTCTTTAAATGCAAACAAGGCGCCTTGAAAGAGGGGTTTACAACTATATAGTGGCTCAGAAACTTTTCATTTACAAATTAATTAAAAGATGTCAACAAGGGAAGACTTGTGCATCCAGCCTTACATGTTGGAGCCAGAGTGAATTTTGCACATGTCCCCTTTAAAGCAGGGATGTTGAACTCAGTTACTCAAGCGGGCCACAAGTCAAAACAGTCCAAACCAGGGTTCAGTTTCTRTCAATATTTATTGAAGAAATGTTAAATAGCAGGTGATTCTTACAGAAATACAAATGACTTTTTTCAAATKATATTTTATGTAACGTTTTGTTCCTGTTTGAGTGCAGACAGCTGGGTGGAGGTGTTTTTAGTTCTTATCACCTTCATGGATAAACTGTACCAGACACAGCTGCTTTGYGTTTATATGTTCTTCTTCCATCTATTTATTTAAAAAAAAAAGAAGAAGAAGAAGCAAAGTGTGTGCATACCAAATCCTCCCAGTTGGTTGTTTGTACTCACATTCGTCACCGCCGTTGCTCTGCTTAACTCTGCTCT